GCCCCGCCCCGCCCCGCCCCGCCCCGCCCCGCCCGGCTCAACGCCACGGCACTTGATGATGACGGAGCGAGTGCAATGCCTTCCGGTGCGGGACGTGACGCGACGCGGCGCGGCGCACGCAACATTGTATTGGCCGGCAATGTGAGCAGACTGGCACTGGCCCTGGGCAGGTGATGGGGCGAGGGGGGCGTCCACGTCCGGGGAGGGGACCTCCCAGACGGCTAAGCGTATGCACACACGACTGGAAAATACGAGTACGGTAATTATTCCTGCTCTCAATGGCGTGCGTTCAAATGCCACTCGGATGAAAATTTATCTATTTGACTCGGTAACCTTCTGCAGTCCAGAGCTGTGTGTGTGCGTGTGTGTGTGTGTGTGTGTGTGTTTTGTGCGCGCAAACGTCGCTAAAGAGTGTGTGAGAGAGAGAGGGAGAAAGAGAACCACGCCGAACACCCCAAGCAAAATCTAAAATCTCTTTGGCTTTGTGTGAACCTGTTGAACCTGTTTCTGCAGCCGCAGCGGCATGCCGGCCAGGGCTGCAGGGCTGCAGAGTGTCCCCTTGAAAATGCAGCAAGTCCGCCTGGACCAGGACGGTACGCCCTCCACCATACAGGCGCGACTGCAGCGACTCTGATTCTGAGGTCATCGGCGGGCATGCCTCGCCACTCTCTCTTTCTCTCTCTTTTTTTCACCCGCATCTGTTGTTTATGTGAGAGAGGAGAGGTACCTAACTCGGCCGTCGTGAGAGTTACAAACTTGCGTCGGTTGTCCGTCGAGAGACGCGAGTGGATATTCGTTGAACGACCTTAAACTGCACGGCCGCGAAAACAAGTTTTATACGACTTGCAGAGACATGGCAAAATATTTTCAGTTATTGTGGTTATTGTTTCATCCTCGTTTCTTGCCACTGAGGATGTGCTGATAATAATTTCTCTCTCCTCACCCATTTAAAATAAAAGAAGCGAAACCACAGTGAAATGTGAAATCGAAGGGCGTTAAATGGGCTACTTCTTGTATTGCCTGCCTCGGGCATGTTTGGGCTCGGGGCTCGGGGGTCTTCGTTCGCTGCCGTCGCGCCTCGCAACGGCGGCGTACCGTCAGAGGCTTCGAGGCCCGCGGGGCGGGGCAGAGCGGGGCGGAGCGGGGCGGGGCGGGGCGGGACAGGCCCACAGACACAGCTTCTAATCCTGCTGCTGTTGCTGCTGGCTCTTCTCCAAGCTGGGAAAGCGCGCGTAACGCTCGGTTGCGCACATCTCGTAAATTATTTTTCCGTCGAAGATCCGCCCATTGCGTCCCACCCGCGGTCCCCGCCTGGCCCCGCGGGCGGGCTGTGGCTTCTCCATTGCAACACTTCCCACTTCGTTTCCCTCCTAAACAAATAAATGTACTCTACTCATCTCACCGCGCTGAGCAAATGGGGGTTCAAGTCCTGCATATCACTAGTGAGGCCTATCGGGCTCGCCGCAAAGTATTCATAATCCTCTAAAATATGGCGCTGCCCCCTATATCTTAGTCAAGTTTTGTGTATCCCGTCCCAACACATCTAAACGTTCACGAAAATCAATCCGGATTCTATTTAGATCATATGTGCATATGCACAATGCCCTACCCTCTATTACGTGTACTACGCCTTTTACGCGCTATTTTACGTGCGATTACGGGCAATTACGAATAGGGTTTCAGGATATTACTCCGTTTTAATCGAGGGGTCCCCCTTTACTTGTTCGCGCCCAACTCTCGTCCAACGAGCGTTCAACTCGTGAATACTCGTGAGAACTCGCGAAGACTCGCGAGAGCTCGCGAGAACTCGCGTCAAAATCGCGCAAAACTGTCAAAAAAATTGATCCCAACTCGCGCCTTACTCGAGGCAATAACTCACCGACTCGCCAACTCCTTGTACACCTATTTAGGGGGTTTTAATGCGTGTGTCCAACACACTGACAGATCTTAGGGTGCGACGAAAAGTGGCGCACACTATTCGCAGGGCGCAAGGCCGGACAGGTCGCCTGGTGGGTAGGCCACCTCATGTCAGTGAGCTTCTGTGTCATGCGGGCTGGCCTACCCGGGAGCTTGCAGGCGACTGTGTTGATGTTTCTTTCTTGTGCGTAACATTAAATGAGTCTAGTGTGCAGTCCAATAATCGTAATCTATCTTTAAAAAGTATAGCAAGCCATAATTATATGGATTTAGTAAAAGTCACCTCAGATATTTTTTTGTTAGGTACTCTAGTGTTTCGTGTCATGCGTCCTATGAGGGCTGGACTG